AGTTTTGAGTTTTAGATCTCATGAATTATGAGTATTATCTTTTCAACAGAGAACCTTACAAAACGAGGTTCATTTATTAAGCAACCGTTAATGTGCCGTTAATGAAACTACACTGAAGGAACGGATTTGAGAAGCTGCGGGTGTTACTGCACATTAAACTACCATAAGACGTGAATCAGATTAATTACTAGTTCATCGCGTTGTTATTGTTTTGCGAGTAAGTGAATCAGATCATTATTTGCTGAAACGCAGCTAATAAATGAATTACAAATGTGTCAAAACGAATCATTAAAAAAATTTCCGAATGCTTTATGGTACGTAGGGTGTACAGATATTCATAAGCAGAGGAATTAAAACTATAATAATATATAACTTAGTGTTCACAATGACTAAACTTTACCAAAATCTTTATATTTTAATTAAAAGATACTATATTTTAGAATTTTGTCAGCAAAGAAAAATTTGTATGTATTAGTCAAAACGTAAGGGTATATGCAGAAAACTTGCTAAAGTCTAGCCAGTGTAGACGTAGTGCGCGATACACAGGTTTATTTAACAAATATGTTATGAAATTCTTTTCTCATAAATCTGTAAAATTAAACCAACCTGTTAATAGATGCAAACATATGGATATATAATAAATCAGTAAAATAATATTGAGGTACACGTATGATAGCTAAGAAAAAAAGAAATCTAAAGTATCCAATAAAATTCAGAAGATCCATTATCATTAACAGAACAAAAAGAGCTATAAGAAACTAGGTATATCCCTGAAACAATATGAACAGTAAATATGTTAGTAAAAGTTATAGAATAAATAACAGTAGAACTGCTATTACTAAATTTGTTTTTATTATTCCAAAGTTTTATATATGATTATATCTATACAATCACACTTATTTATGAAATTTATTACTTAAATTAACTTGTAATAAATTTTAATTTTAAATCCCTAGTCCCTAGTCCCTAACCTTACTGTCTCCAATATCAAAGCAGTGTCATCCCATACCACAAATAGGAAACACTAACAGCAAAACAATTTAATTTAAAAATATTAAAATTCCAAAATACAGCAATTTTTGTCTATGCTACTCACCTGATGGCTACTTGATGCCAGCGATAATCGTATAAATTGAATTTCACAGGTAGCATTTCGGTGGTGTTATCACGTTCCAAATATAGACGCAAACCGTCCTTGCACGACTCCAAGTATAAATTGTGTGTTGTGTTGCGTATGGAAAAAATTGTTGCTGTGGTCTTGCTGTCGTTCTGTGAGAAAAAAATAAATTTAAATAAAAAATAAATTTGCATACACAAAAATACATAACAAAAAGCGCTTTGAAACCTTCCTCAAACAAAAGAATTATGCTTGTAATATACAAAAATGACAGGATATATTTTAATTTTTTGCAGAAGCAATCAGTTTGGATTTTTATTGTACGCAGAATTAATGCTTGATTTTTGTTTCCGTTGAGGAAAACAATTTTAATTTTTTTTATGAAACTTTTTCTATATTTTTTATATATTTTTTATGTACTTTTATTTCTGTTAATGGAAAATATTTTAATTGGTTTTCATTGTCAGCCGCTTTTATTACTGTTGAGATTCTCGACAGAGCCGCCTGATATTTTCGGGACGCAGCCTTGCTCGGGCTCTACTTATTTATGTAAATTAAAACTGTTTTAACAGCTTTCGTTGTAATTGAACACTTTTAATTACCCTTAAGAACATTAACTTTATTAAGGCATGCAAATTGATTGAGCACAATGGCACAGTTTTTGTGTTAAAGAGCCGAGAATAAGACTAAAAGTTAAAAAAACGAATCATTTGTAAATAATTTGCTGGTTATTATTTTGGAATTCAATTAACTTTTTTTAGAGGTTTAAACTTTTTACTTCAAGTTATTACTATTATTTCAATGATATCTTTACATAAAATAAAAGAATATTTTCATAACTCATCCATTGTGGCAAAATATTGAAATGACTGCATTCTGTTAGTGGTTATAAGAGTTCTTCAATTAGAATTTGTATTTGAAGGAATAATTATAAATTTAGAAACATAAAGAACTTAATGGAAGAATACCTATCATCCTTGCTTTATATTTATTAATGTCAAGAATGAGAAGCGAGAAAAATCTTGGCGATCGAAAAATAAATTTACTATGGATGCTTGTTTAAAATGCTTTGATCTAAACAAGCACCCATCTACATTTATTTCAAAGATGGACCACTTCATTTCATCCTAAAGTCCTTTTATAGATGATTGTTATTCATCGAAGTAATTGTATTATTTCGAACACTTGAAATTATTATAAAAGAATTATTAATAATTAAATAAGTAAATGGAAAATGTGCCGTTGCAATTGCTCGGATTGAAGTCCTTTTTATTCATTGGAAGCATCACAAGCAAATAACAAATGAATCATACAATAACAATATGGTTGAAGATAATAGTAAGAATAGTAAAAACTATATCAGTGAAAATAAATATTTAAGCTGGGTCCAGAGTTCAAAATGTTGTTCAAAAAAAAGACGTCGATCAACTGCGTTAGGGATTGTATCTGCAAGAGGAAATTCAGTACTTCTTGTGATAGTACAGCGACATCTATTTGCTACCGTTGTACCTTAATCTATTTTAGATTACAATTTGATTGTTTTTATTGAATGTAATGTTCGTATACTTGAGAGAGGTGCAGTTTAAGGCACCTATTCTACTGAAGTCGTAGGCTATATTGTACATAAAAAAACAACAGACTTTCCATATATGAGTACAAATAAATTTTATGTCTTACCTTAGCCCTTAGTGTGGTCATGAGCGTGAAATTTAATGCATTGTGCCAACTCTTGACATATCCCATATTGGAAGGTGTTGATGACGGCATGGCATTTAAACTAACAGCAGCATTAATAGTACCGAAGCCAATGCTCGAGGTTGTTGTTGCTGTCGCTACAACTGTATCGGTAGACATTGCAGCTGCTCCAATTGAAGCTGCAGCAATTGTTGTGGATGTATTGATATCAGTTGCCAATGGCATTGTCGCAGCGCTTATGTCATCGAACATTGGAAACTTTTTATAAAATTTTAATAAGTCGTTTATGTCATCTGGAAATGGAAATCGAAATCGAAATGAATACCATGTTCAGCATTGAAATGAAAAGTAAACATTTGAGCATTCAACATGCATTGAAAATTCTAAAGTAACACAGGAAATGGTGGAAATGTCAGAAAATGAATAAATTTATGAGAAATGAAAATTGATGAAAAGTTTAACTTCGAGTTTTGATTTCATATAAAATAATAAAAAAGAAGTTTAACAAAAAAGCTGAAATTTTCAATGAAAATGAAAAATTAGTTAAAATAGTTGACTTACCACGGCATTCAAAAGTGTTGCAATTCCGTTGTTCGATATTGTAACCTTCGCAGAATAAAGTCGAGAAAGTTTTTGTTGACTTTCTGCTGCGGTGCTTCTTGGATGGCTTCTGAAAGTCTTTCTCAGATTTTTTTCCTTGCAATTGATTTTTTTTATTAATATTTTTCGCTGATGTGGTCAAAGTTTTTGAATTTGCGTATTGTAAGTTTTCATTAAACTCATTTAACTTATTTGCAACAACATACAGCATATTATGTTCAGTATCTTCATTATTAACATCACTCACAGCAACTGGAGAAATATTGTTGCTGTTATTCGTTGTACTTCGATCCGTCTGCTGTTGTGACAACAAAGCGACATCACTCATGTTATCAATTGCATTAATAGTGGGAACAATTTTAATTTCCTTCATGCCATGCAGCTGCAAAGTATTGCTGCTGTCAGCATCGTTTGCTGCTATAATTTCAATATCAGTTTGTGCATCTTTTGTTGTCGGCACATTGACAACACTTTTGTCACTTTCCATTTGCGTAAAGTCAATTTCTGTCTCCATTTCATTGATAATACCATTTTGTGTAGCATAAGCATCACGGGCCACTTCATCAGCTTCAACATCACCATCAATAACAACATCGTCGTCATCATCATCATCAACAACTGCGTTTAAATTCATATTCATGTTTAAGTTCATCATTGGATTATCCAGGAGACAACGTCGAAATCGCTGCTGCACACCTTTACCGCATGTAACGCTACAAAGCGTGAAATCACTCCAATCATCCCAGCCTGCAGATAATGTTTATATTATGGTAACGCGAACGATGTGTTGGGTGTGTAAGCAACACATAAATGGATTTCGGGTAACAGTTGGCAGAACCATTTTTGTCCGAGCATGAAATGAAATGGCAATAAAAATTATGAAAATTGAAATTTATGCATACAATTTTTATTAAGGCATAAAGAATTTAAACGGAATTTTGTTAAATTAATATTTTCAAAACAATTTGATACATGAATAGTAAAATATATAGTATTGAAGTAAAGTACATCAACAAATAAGTTTTGAAGAAAGTTACTGTAAGTCAAAAAGTAGAAGAGACAAAGACAAATTACGATCAATAAAACCTATTGCGCTCAGTCTCAGTCTCAGTTTTTGATTCCCGATCTCATTCTATTGGAATAGAGGTATTATTTAGTGAAGAAACAAGTAAATAATCCGATTTTATATCTACATATTTAGACTGAGAAACTAGTTATCGATCATGCTTTTTCGCATAAAGTTCAAACTTTATTATTAAAACTAGAACTAGAGAAAAATTACCTTGACGTGGGATGTTTTAATTTTATTACTAAAATATGGTGCATTTATCATTATTTTAAAATACATAAATATAGTAAATTATGTACCTAAGTCCTAAATATTAGTGAATCTGACTGAGGTATTGGAATGCGGTAAATTGTAATTGCCAGGGAATTATATCAATTAAGGGGAAATATGATATGGCGCCATTTTTATTCTTTAATTTTAATGCACCAATAAGGCTAGGAATGTTTTCAACAATAGTGATTTTTAAAGTATTTCAAAACTTTTAAATTTTTTTTGTTTAGTGTGAATGTGAATGCATACCTAGTTTTTCTACTAAAGGCAGTTAGTTCTAAAGATGTTGAGACATTGAGGAAATTTATACAATTGATGTGCTTTAGGAGCTTTCAAACAAGGATGATAGAATAGGATGATGCATATCTCTATATACAACTATATAAATATAATTTTTTACAAATTCAATTAGAAGAAATAATCTATGAAAATATAAATTGTTGGCTATTAAATTAATGAATATGGATTGTTACAGTTTTAAACAGAATGCTTAAAAGAAAGCTACTTGGGTTATGTGTTATAATTTATTTCATATTGAATCGTATATTTATATCAAAGCACAGTGCACAAGTATTCAAAGTACAAAAGTACCAAATTGCACGAAAATGTCAAATTATTGAAAGAATATTTCATCTAGACCTAAATCTTCTTATATTTTTTTAATATTATATATAAAATTTATTAAATTTTTTTAAAGTCTATAGTACATATTTTGCTTAGTATCACTTTTGATTTCAAATAATCAGTACAATATAACATTATACTGTATAATGGATTTTATAAAACTTGCAAAGAATTTCATTTAAAAAGTATTGCCAATGCAAAATAATTTCATTTGAAGTCTTACACATACAATCAATAAAATAAGACTCAAAAATTGAAGTAAAAGGCAAATATGTTTAGCAAAATCTGCCTTAAAGAGATTTTTCATGTAAATATACATATACCTCTTAATATGTAGCTGGTTTTTGCTACTTTTATGTTCTTTAATCTGTACAAGTATTGACAAGTAAAATGCACTCTTAACCCTATTAGTGCCATCGTTGCTTCGTTGCACTTTTACTTACTGCTATTGCTGCTTAGAATGTTCATCATCCATAAGTGAATGTGTTTGTGGTAAATTTTTATAGAACATAATACTTTTGTGTTGCTATTAAGAATAAAATCACATTTTATGTCAACACACGTACTAGGAAATAGATATATAATCTCAATACTATTTCTTTTCACTTGTATATAAAATTTTATTCAATTCAAGGTGAAATTATTTTAATTCTGTGAAAACACTTTAATACGACTAAAAGTATGTATATTAAGTTTTATACAAAGGAGGTATGTAAGCTTTTTCCTTTGAGGCTTAATAGGTAATTAGAAATAATAAGAAATCCAACTAAAGTATTTGTTTAAACTTCGATATCTTTTTAAAACTTATCAACAACAATTACTAGACGAATAATACAAAAATATTAAAATAAATGTTTAACTAGTATTATTGACAAGTATTACTATAATATACTATAATATATACTAGTATGACTACTATAACTAGTATTATTTTGCTTTCATGTGTTGACAGTTTTGAATAAAACTGGGCACGTATGTTTGATTAAACCTTTTCTCAATAAAGTCACAAGTTGTGTTAAATTGGAGTGGTGTCCTTGTGTACTAAAAGACCACGTAAGCTTAAATTATAGCTTATTGCAATACTGTGGGTACACATTGGTAGTACTTTAAAACTTAAAGATATGCAGGAATAGCAGAAGACCGAAGTACTCTGCTTACTATCAGCCTTAATTAAATCTATAACTTTCTCGGAATACTGAATTATAGAGTTATAAAAAACTAATTGTCAATTTGAAAATGGCAATTTGTATTGACTGTGCTGACTGTATGTGTGTTTTTAAAAATTAATCAGTCATTCATCAAACATCGACGATAATTGGTTCCAGCAAGACCATACCTACAACGCGCTTAACAATCAATTTATTGCGAAATCAATTTGTTAACAAGTTTATTTCCAGAAGTGGCCCTGTTAACTGATCCTCTCGTTCGTGCATTGTTTTATTTAACGCCTCTCACATTTATTGCAAAGAAATAGTCAAAAATTGGACAGATCGAATGGACCATATAACTCGTAGCCGCGGCAGATATATGTCGAAAATTGTATTTAAAAAACAAATGCCATCAAATTATTTACCAGATTATATTAATAAAAATTTCAAGAGTTCGAACAGTAATAAAGAAGCAACAACAAAAAAGTGATGTATTTTTAAAATTTGGCTGACCATACAATACTGGAAACAGTGTTGTCTTAGAAAATGTTCGAATTTTTATTTAATTAGTTTATAGTCCCTACATAATTTGTTGTACTGTAAGTACTAGGCTTAGAACTCATGTTTGTCAAATGAGTAATGATGACTAATCGTGTTTTTTCACAAGTAGCCAAGGCTGCACATACTTTCAATGCCCAAATTCAAAGTTTCGATGCTCAAGTTTCATTCCAATAATATTTCTGATGTATTATCATTTTAAGTTATCATGTAATCACATATAATTATCAATATAATCATTTTAGTTACAAAAGTTTTTTTTTTATTCAACTTTCATATTTTTTATAGTTTCCAATGGAGTTATAATTCAAACAATTTAATTAAATGCTAATGTGTTTTCATTGCCATATCAGTGGTGAATGTAGGGAGCCATTATTTATACCACGACACGATGGTGATAATTTAATAATTATTTAATCTATGCCTTTAAAGTTCATATCTCTATTAAATAACTGTTTTTAATGTTGACTAACTCATTTTCATTCCAAATTGTAATCGTGTAATCCACGATGAGGGAATCGATTTACCACCTAGTTGGTGTCAATTGCTTGACTAATCCAAGAATTATATCACACAAATTGATACTATTTTCTGTTTAATTAATGTAATTGTTTGATTTAAATTAATCTAAACTAAATAAATATCCGATAACTTTTCACGCGAGATAATTGCATTTAATAGAAAATATCTTTGTCAGCTTTTATCAATCTGTAGTCAAATTTTTAATCACATTTGCGAATCAAAAGCACGCAAATGTTGTTGTTTTTATGAAAACAATGAATGATTTAAAATAATGAGCGATGCAATTAACAAACTGATTATATCAGAATAAAAGCAGCATACCACATTATTAATTTATAACCGAGTTATTTTGTTTATTCAATAATTCATGCGATATTGTTGAGCCACTTGAGCTGTTATTCGATTCTAATGTGTGAATTCAATTAATATTCATACCGTTTGATGAAACAACAGCGTCATGTAAAATATTTTCAAGAGGATAACGAATCATTTATTGAATCGTACAATGAATCGTACTATATTTACACACTCTGAGAAATGTAAATAAATAATTTAAATTTAAATTTTCTTTCGCAATCATAGTAGAGTATTTAAATAACACCTACGCCTTATAAGTCAACATCCTGTAGCAATCACTTCAGTTCTTTTATAAATAAACTCGAAAATATAAATCTCAAATACACAAGCAATTAACATAAAATAATAAATTTTGAAATTTGTATATTACAAACACGCTCGCACGCATATAAGCTTACTAATTATGTAAATATCAACATAGATACAATTCCAGGTTCATAATTACATCCTGCCCTGAATTCAAATGAATTGGTTTGCAAACTTTTGTCGTCGATTTCCAAATTTTCATAAACATTGATAAAAAGAATTTTTGAATGTTTATTTGCTTAATTATAATGTGGACATTTTATATTTAATTGCACAAATATTGGTTGCCTTTTGGTTAAATACACTTGAATTAACATTTGAATTGGTTTCATAAATTCATATTTATGCAGCTTCTAATTCCCATCAAAAGACTAAATCAGTTTAAAAACATTTTCTAATTCTATTTGAGAAAGTTTAATAAAATAATTACTAAACTATTACCGTAAACATATATGTTTTCGGTTTGTTATTTGAAAAGCTAATATTTCACTTCGAGTGAATATTTAGCAAAAATTAAATTAGTTTAAATGAAATAAAATTTTATAGCTCAAACACTGAAATTACAATCGTATATTTAAGCTTTAAAATATTAAGTGCCTCGAGAGAATATAACAAATTATTATTATAATAATTATAATATTGGGGAATTTAAAAAACTATGACTTAGAGTTATATTGTTCTATTGGACCCCCTACTCTAAATCCTTGTTAGAGTATTTTTCTTCTATAATTTGTGTAGTACTAAGTAAAGGCTTTACCAAATCATTAATTCAGCCGATATAAAATAGCCACTTAGATATTTCATTTTCTTCACATTAGTACTGTGCAGACTCTCAGTACTTAAAGTGTTAATGCAACCTACAATTTCCTGTTAGTACTATTGTTTGGATTAAATTTATTTTTGATTAGGGGTTAAATCATAAAAATTCTATAATTAAAACTTATAAAAACATTTTTTTAAAACATATAAACAATTCTGCTAGTTTATTGATTATTAATCACGGTTTAATAGATGATTAAATTGAAATAGTCCATTACTAGTATGTAACTTTTAAAGTTTAGAAAGATAATAATTAATAGTACATTGTAGTTTGCAGTCTAACTGCTATCAAAAGCGGGATTGAAGTACGACTACTAACACGAGACACCAATTCTACTTGCAATTTAAATTTTTTAATTGTGACAGAATAAGACACCAATTCTACTTGCAATTTAAATTTTTTAATTGTGACAGAATAAAGTCTCTATAGCCAACACTTCTTTGTAACTATTTTGCAGCTTTAATTTGAATGAAAATTTTTAGCTCTTAAGAACCCAAAAAGTGTTTAATCCACTCAGAGATCACATTCAGATATAAAAAATGTTTGACATTGATGCAGTTCTAAGGACGAAAATATAATAAATCTACTGGAAAAATGTAATCTTATGAATGGTAAGAACCATTGAAACTAAACATTTTATATTTAAGTGATAATAGCATAATTTTTTTTATAACTGCAACGTTGATATAATAAAGCAAAGGCACTACACCTGACTCCCATAGCAATCACATAGCAACATAGCAAAAAACTGATGTAAGTAAATAACTCACCCATATCAAATTTAAAAACAGGGTCCTTTACAAATGATTTGCAAATAAAACTATTAAGAACTTATATTATATTTCAACTACCATGGCTGTTAATGCTGGAATGTATCTCCCACCAAGTTTCAAAGTAGTATTTTCGTATATTGTGGCCAAACAAAATACCTAATAGCGAGTAATAAAAACTTGGGGCAGACAAGAAATTCTAGACTATAACTCTCTAAGTAGCAGAAGAAGCTGTATTCATGTAACACTTTAAAGAGATGAAGTTACTTGTATTTACTTATCTTAATGAAATTGAATGATTATTGTTAGATAAAATTTAATGAAAATTATGTGTACGTAACTGTATACTGTAGATATTGTATAGGTTGAATACAGAAATACACGTGCGATATATATCTAATTGAATAATTGTTGTGGTTATCATTTCAAAAAAATGAAATTATTATTATCAACTATTAGGCTTTTCTTAAGAAATAGTTCCTCATCAAATATAAACTTACAGTACCATATAAATTTCCATATTTTAACTTAGGGCCATGTTATGTAGAGTGTTTCGGGTACAGCATGAGTAAACTATTGTTGTTTTCAATGCAAATTATAAAAATGAGAGTGAGTATGAGAGAAAAAACAATATGTCGGTTCAAATTTCGGAATGACAAACGAGCTATTTATGTTGTTCAGTAATAATACCAATTAGCAGGCTATAAATTCAAATTATGTAAATACAGAAATATGTGGATCTACTGGCATTTGTCTTGTTAAATCAGAAATATTTTTTGTTAAAAACCACAAGTTATTGAATACTGTTTACTCTGAAATGTAAGAATAAAACTAATTGGCAAAGACAGAGCCTAAAGATACATTCCTTCTTACTTGATCAGAAGAATGCATATTCATCTTTTCCAACTAACAAAATTTTTGGTAAATTAAAGAACCTAGAATGATTTAGAAAGCAGTATTTTCTAATCGAGTTAGTAATGTTTAGGTTCTCAATAAGAGCAAAATTATTATAGCACAGGTGAGAAACTATTGAAGTATTATAATTTAACATAAATGAGATTGCTATGTTAATAGGTCAAAACGTTATCGGTAAATGTTAATTCAATATTATTAGAAGAATGTATAGAGAATTATAATGTTATGTGATAGGAACTAATATTCTTAACTTATATTCTTAATTGTTCCTAGGAACGTTCTATATTTTTAAGACTACTGTCAGCATCAGTGCTGTACAGAGCTGTTTTCGAGGTGGGATTCTCTCACCATTACTATGAATGCTTGTAGTCGAAGAACTGCTTGTTAAATTGGAACATTCAGGCAATTATACAGATTACTTGGTAATCATTGATACTTGTAATGTGATACCACTGTCACTAATGTAACTGGCCTAGGACAAATTTTTTAAATAGTGTATAATATTAATTCGAAAAAGAATTGAATGGGACACAGCTCACAGAGTTCACACAGAAGCTTAAATATATGGATATTACATTAGATAAATCGACTCCTAGGAAATATGAATGGCAGAGCTACTCAAGTCATGTGGACTCATAGTAGTTTCCACAGTAGAACCTTATGCCTTAATCCCAAAACTGTCTTAAGGCTATTGTTTGGTAAAATAAAGTTCAACAAAGTGTTGTCATACTTAAATGCAATAAGCTTTTTTTTTACTTGTAAACAATTTCATTTATTTGAAATATAACTTTCAAATTTTCATGAAGTAAACACATGCAGCCTAATATTTTCAATTCATTTATGGTACGTACATATATGTTATTATATAAAAATAGATTCATTATTATATATATATATATATATATGCTTAAGTAAATGTTGCTGTTGTTTTAAGGATGCATGTTAAGGATGCATGCTAGAATTTTGATAGATTGGGTGCCTGGTGATATTGAAATCCATGAGTCAATTGATACTCTACCATAAATCTTTAGTTAGAAAATTTAAATTTATAGAAAAATTTTCTAGAGCTGTATTTCATTTTTTCATTTCTAAACTTTACTCTGCGATATAATTATTTATACGCATTATATTCCGTTTTGGAAAAATTGCAGATTGAGTATAATGTAATTCTTGTAAGCACTTCTTAATAATTAATCACTAATTAAATGCATCTCTCAAAACAAAAATCATATTGTAGTTTTTCTAATATATAACAAAATTAAATATCTCATGTATTGCACATTTTTTTTTTTATTTTATATATCATATATTCGCATGTGTGACTTTTAGCAGCTTTTATTTAATTAATATAAGCTTACCCAAATGTTTCCAGATGTGATTTTCAAATTGTGGACTCCACCGATGCAATCCGTTTATGCTGATGCGTAAAATATCCTTTTGTCCGGAACGCTCTTGGCTTTGACTTTGTTGTCCTTGTTGTAGCTGTTGCTGTTGCTGTTGGACAGTTATCAATTTGCCAAAAGCAATTAATTCAGTTGGCAACATTTTCAGCACATTTCCATCGAAACAGGCTAAGGGCTCAAGGGTTGCATTTAATTGACTGCAATAATAAATGAACGGCCACAAGCGCAGCCAGGACACAAGCATCAAGTAAATATAAAATGCAGAAAAGCAAAAATAACTATATCCGTATTATAGGTGGCAACAAATTTGTGTACAAGTACGTTAATTTATAAATAATTAAAAGCTTTTCATAAATAAATTATTTTAAAGCAATTTGTGCGGCATAATGATTTTTAATATTTGTCATAAATCAGTTGCAGCTGAATGAAGCTGCGTTGTGCATAATGCATGATGCATTTAGTGCGCAAAGCAGATTTACACAGGGCCTTGGATATACAAATTTAATACTGATGACATTATTATGCATATTCTGCAATTCCCTGTTAATTTGCCGAGTGGTGTGAGTATGAAATCCTGATTATACGTACGCCATGGCAAACTTAAATGCTTTTAAGCATAAAATTAATAAGTGTGTGCAGCTTGTTAGATACAAGAAGTATCCCGATTAATACAGCAGCTGTGAAGTTGGTTTCACTGAAGCGGATTTTTAACATAAATAATTATTTCTGCATTGAATAATATTAATTAAACAATAATTAATGAAAATTGTAATTAATATTTAAACAATGCTATTTAATTAAGGCAGTTAATTTTAGTAGCGTTTACTGAAAACATATTTTTATGCACATTTTAATTTAATTAAATTTTTTTAAATAACAAATTAAATTCAATAAATGCAATTTACAGATATTTTCATGAATATTTATATTTTTTGATTAATCAACAGAATTGAGTTCTCGAATATTTTTGATTAAATTTTACACTTAAAAGTCTTTAGCTCCACAGAAGTGAAGTGAACAAGTCCAAATAAGTTGATCAACTTTTTTAAATTTTTAATAATAAAATTGTTATTATTTCGCAGGAAAGCTACTTTGGCGCACAGATAAATCTCTTGGATATTTGGCAAGGATTGCTCCTTGGCATCCTGTACAATATAATATGCTTAATAACTACGGTTTTGCACTTACCCCTCATATTGATATGCTGACTCTGCTTGGTTGCCATAGCCATTGCTACTGCTACTACTACCAAGATTGTTCCGTGGTGCATTTTCCGCACCCGGTGTCATTTTAAGCAACGAGGCCCCTTTGTATATTGTTTCCGGTGTTAATGTTATTAAAATGGACTCTACTTCCGTTGTTGGCATGTTTCTCTTGCTGTTGTTGTTATTATAGCTATTGTCACCAGCAGAATTTTTGTTATGCAATGCTGCTGACGCCGTTGATGCTCTCGTTGTTGTTGGGGTCGCTGCGGATTGTACTTTTACTGTCGAGTCAAGTGTTGCTGACGTTAAGAAATTATTTTGCCCATTTTGCCAGTTATCCTGCTCACCCCTGACCATCTGCAACACACTTAAGTCATCGTCGGTGAATACACGCGCTCCCAATGCTTTAACTATCACAGGACTTGTTTTGATGAGTTCGGCTATGCTTTCATGTGGACAGGGTGCAGTATGACTATGCTCTGCGGAATTTATAGCTGAAACTGGTAGTGGTGTTGAGTCTGTGCTAAAAGGATATAGCATATACCAGCTAAAGACGAATAGCCAAATTTGTTTGCAGTTGTGCATTTTGTGGAGGTTTGCTTAAAGTGCCTTTTTGGTTGAGTTTTTCAATTTGGGAACTCTTTTGATTTAAACGTTGAAATCGTTTTTAAGGGACCAAATATTTCTCATCTAAATTATATATAACAATTTTATATAGTGCCAGCAAATTTTAACTTTGTGGTTTTTCTTTTGTTTGGTTGGAAATAAGTGCAGGATAGTATTTTTTAAACCCTTTTAAGTGAAAATCACGTTTGGTTCTTGGAATCCATTTTGATTTATGTAGAAGTTGGACTTTAAGTTTGTATGAGGTTTTTGCATTATGTGATAGTTATAGTTTTGCTAAAATAAAGAGAAGCAAAGTAGATAAAATTAATCTTATAATAAAATTTTATAGACTTAAAAGTAGATGTATTTCTGTATGAATAATATGATTGCGCACTAATTTTTAATCACTGTTTATATATTTTTAAAAGATATATATATGAATTAAACAAATAAAAATATCTTAGCAACTTACCATCAAAAACTAACAATTTTATAGGTTACTTTAAAATCTATTGTTCACTAAGCAAAATGTTTGTTTGCGAAATAGAAATTATGTTTCTTTATAAATCACAGAATATGTGGTCTGAAAAGAGCTACAAGTAAAATGTACGATTGACAACATTTAAAATAATTATTTTCATAGTTTGTAATCTAGCATTCGCCAAAAATGTGAGGAAGGTAATGTGCCCAGAGTATTTAAATGACCCGATGCTTTATGGGACAATCTAAGGATTGGTTGGGTATTATTAGAGTTTGTATTTTGCGTTGGATATTCCATTACTGGATCAGATAGTGTGTCGGTTTTTTTTAATTTGGGGTCCTGGCTTATATGGAGTTTTAGCTAGAGACATAAAGAGTTGAGCAGGTCGGTTCTTGCGGTAAAGTTTTATCATAATAACAGGCTACATCATGATTGTTTAAGAAATTAATGGTAAATAAACTTAAAAGACTGTCGTCACGTGAAATAATTTTTTTTAAATTAAGTGATAAATATTCAGTAACTCAGTTATGGACTCTCCAGCTCATCTGGTATTCTTATTTGGTTTTAACAGCTCTTGACACACTAAGCAACGTTGCACCCCCGTTAGGCGATAAAATAAGGTTTCGAAAAAGAGACAAAGATTATATAAAATTTTTTTAGTCAAAATTAAATTTTATTATTAAAGAAATCTTTATGAAAATCACATTAAACTTATGGTCACATGATCAATGGTCAAACACTCTTACGCTTGTTGTGGTCATGACCAATTAGTGTGTTGTAAAGGGAGTCATATCACATTTGTCCATTTCGTCCTTTTACCTCTATTTTGATACTTTTCGGTTGCGTCTAAATTTAAAAGGTAAATTAAACATTTGTGGTCTAATTCTGATATTTATTACTAGCAACAATGACCAACATGATGAGACAGAAAAAGACTGATCATTTTGACCAAATTTAACAAAATTCCTCTTCTTCTCTTCCTCTTTTCTGATTCTCAAATTTTTCATTTACACAACACCAACAATTTTACATTTGATATGACCATGACTGTTTGTATAACATAACTCCAAGCAAGCATAATAACGATATTACGATTGTAAAAAGTCATTGTGCTAAAAACTCGTTTTATTAAAGTATTAAGGTTGGGCTTTTAATACTGTACATATAAACAATTTGTACTAAATTTGAAAAAATCATATATATATATATATACTAGCTGACCCGGCGAACGTTGTTTCCCCTTGCAATTAATTTTCCTGGCTCAGCTGAGTTATAATATTTGTTGTTATTCAACTTAACCTTTAGCATTTTAATGCTAAAATTATTTTGAATTGATTTTTTCTTTTGAACTACAAAAAGTCCACATGCATTACTTATGTTGCAAATATTTTCATGTAACTTCCAATCCTTATAAGCACTACATTTTACATGAAAAAAGGTTTTTTTTAATATTATATTAACAGTTTTATTGTGGGCTATAATGTTAACTTAAAGCTAAATCATGAACAATATTTTTTGTTAGGCCATTTTGTACGTATATATATAGATCAGAAGGCTTAGCTTGAATTTTGAAATTGATTTCATCGACATCTAAGTTCTTGGCAGCCAGAATCGCTCTACTTTGAAGCCATTGATGGTTCTGATAATTTTGATATATGTTAAGAAATACGTTTTCTATTAACTCCTCTTCCGAATTAACAATTTTATAAACATTTTCTGGCAATTTAATAAAGTGCGTATTTTCATGAAGACTTACGTTTCCGTTACCAATATCCAGCAATTGTTTGGCAAACAGTTCTGCAGCTAAATCGCTCTGTAGTCCAACACGCATGTTTTCGGTAAGTCGCAATATATGGACACTTCGCCACAAAATGGATGATTTAAGGCAAGCATTGATTTTCAATTAAAGCGCCTCCAAAAAGTCTATAGTTGGCATTTAAATCTTTAAGTGTTCATTTAATGCTTCCAATGAATATTTATGTGACATTGTGCATTCATCCCAAACAATGATGTGACATTTTTGAAGTACTTGAGCCATATTTAGATGTTTTTTAATATTGCATACCTCATTTTCACATGAATGTATGTTTAGTGGCAACTTTAGTGCCGAATGGGCTGTTCTACTACCATCTAACAATGTCGCAACGATTCCAGATGATGCAAGTGCTAAAGCGATATTTCCTTGCATTCTAACCTTTGCAAGAATGATTAAAATTAAGAAAGTTTTTCCAGTTCCATCTGGTGCATCTAAGAAAAAAAGCCGCCTTCTTTTGCCGCAATTGCGTTCGAAACCCGATCATAAATGACCTTTTGTTGGTGCGTTAAGATTTGTTCGCTTCTTGTAACAAATTCAACCAAATCTTCAGAGCTATAATGAAATTCGCGCTGCATATCATTGTTTAATAGATCGGTTGCCAAACGATTTATAATGCGGAATTTAAATGCACTTAAGCTATGCAACGGCAGTTTTACGATTCATTTTAGAGATTTTAAACTTTTTAAACAAATCAAAGTAAGCATGAATAAATTTTAAATTTCTAATATAAAAGTATATGGATACCAAAAAAATAAAAAATTAATTAAAAAGACATTATCCAGTTGGCCAAATTGTGAATCTAAACCTTCCTTGAATCCACTTGAACACACACAAAAAATTTCATCAAAATCGGTTCAGCCGTTTAGGAGGAGTTCACTGTCAACACACGTACAGAAGAATTATATATATAAGATAAGTCTAAGACAGATTCATAAAGAAAAAAGAATGCGGTTAATATTATTTCAAAAGATTACAGCAAATAAACTATTTCACTTTGAAAAACGTAAAATTTATCAAAACAAAGCACCATCCTATGCACGAGTAATTGCAATTAAAAATCTGTTAGAATATGGTATGATATGAGGTCATATTTTTCTTACACTATATTGTCTCAATACTATCTAAATATATATGATATATATGATTAAATAAAGAATACTATAACCAACACGTATATTATTTTTGAAAAATTATTAAAAAGTAGAAGTTAAGCTAAAAAAAAGTGTCGAGTTTAAATTGAAAAATTTTAAAAACTACTAATCACTGAGTTATTAAGCTCTAGATTTTTAAATTTCTGTTTTGTAAGAAACCTGATTTAAATAAAATAAATTACTCACTATAATTTTTAATTGTGAAGCAATGTATAATACTATATTTAGTTGTATGTACACAGAACTCTCAATAAAAGCAAATAGACATATTTCATAATTGTGCATTCATTAATTTAGCAACCAACAAACCAACAACTCCTACAAAACCCTGATATCAATAGAGTGGCTTACATATTGCTTTAGGACACACTCTAAACCATCCGAAGTACAAAAAACTTAAAACGAAAACAAAGGATACTGAAAGTTCAAAGTACTATGAAGTAATGCAATTGTGCTGAGCAATTTCTTAATTGAGATTCGAGATTCGTTCCAACGTTGTTGTAACATTTCGACCATCATTTAATGGGTTTCACCCATTTTTTCGTTATTCATTTCGTTCATATTTTGGTCATAGTTTTTCCCTTTTACTTCTTGTATGCCTGAAAATCGCATTTCACTAGCAAAGATAAAACGTTTTTATTGTAGTGACTATTAAAAAATGTAGCGTCCGCAGAGCTTCAGCAAAATTGACGTGACAAATAAAACCGAATAGAGAAATGAAAACTGTAACCGAAGTGGATTTCAGACGTGATGCAATTGCAATGAGAACCTTTTGTCAGACAATAAAGTTTTTGTTAAAATGAAGAGGGAGCAACATTATTACATTTACACTGAATTCATTTTTTGTTTTCTAAAATCATTAAGAGATATCAAATAACAAAAAGAATTGTTTTGAAATTCTATACTTTCAAATCCTCTTTAAAATGATTAAATTTATCAAAATATATATAGTGCTGTAAAGGGGAAACCATTTAAAACTCATATATTCTTCAAAGGAAATGATGACTTCAATCGATTTAGCAAAAAAAAAAACAAATGTCAATTTAGTAGTGAAGATACGTATCTCTGCACAGCGAAATTTCTTAGTTATTGAAATAATTGGTTGAAATGTCATAAACGATCTATTATTAATACGACCAAATAATAAAATCGGTAAAATTGGTTAACTAATATGTTTAATTATCACGATAATGGCAGAAATCTATTTAACCAAGTGGCGTTTTATGTTGATAAAAGAATATCTTAGAGTTTTAAACTAATTTTAATAAAGAATAAGATGTTCCTTTAGAGCTGTTTTTGCGACAGACAAAGATCATTTCGAAAGTAAACTCCAGCTTATTTAAACTACATTACGCATTCGTTGGTCAATAAAGCATATGTGGAGTGAGTTCTTCCTCATCTTCCTTATAAAACCAAGAATTTTTGATTTTCTTGTGCGTTTCTTGTCTGTTAAAAACCTTACTACTAATATTACTAATATTTTTATAGCGCATTATAATGGGATAGTGAAATTCTTCCTTAGTACCTTCGAGTCTAGTCTAGCAAAAATCAAGTTCAATTTTTCGGTCTTAGATGCGACCACGTCCTTTAAGCAAAATCAGCTACACCACTGCAGAAGATTATGTCACACGAATCCTGTTTTTTTCGAGCACATAAACAGCTTACCATATATTGTAGTTACTGCATGATCTATATTATAAAGCGTAAAAACCTTTAAGCTGTGCTGCATGATACCTCGCTTTTAATATCAAATAAAACTTACTTTGTTAGTGAATGACCTAAACTATAGGAATTTATTAATTGACAAATTAAAGGA